AGCATGTTCAACCCGGCCTAAGGTAGTAATGGACAGGAGCATTATCGAGTAGCTCACATAGGTTCTACTCGACTATGATCTGATCTAGAACACATGATCGAACGATTGACCAATATGTTGGAATATGTGTCAGATTATGTGGATATGAAACTAGTGTTAAGCTAGGAGACACTTAGCGTGAAGTTGGATGCTTAACCCTTAAGTCAGGAGACTCGCCAGCGGCTGGTGTTTTGAATACGCACAACCCCAAAAGGGATTCCTGTATTATATAGAGGTGTGTAGGTCTTACAACACAGTAGCCCAATTACTGACCGAGTGATCTACCTTGAGTAGTGCTCGAGAATGCTGTGAGATAGTCAATTATCATCGACCATCCCAGATCATGCCCGAGAATTTACTCATATACATTATCACATGATTTTGTAGTCAGGATGATATATACACGAAATGATTACCAAGATATCTATATATAGCTGAGTGGTCGATCATGATTGAGTTCAGTCGAGTTTAGTTGAGCATAGTCGACTATGATCGAGTAGTATCCATCATCGATCAAGTCGAGCATATTATAGATCCCATGCTCGATCCTGTCGTGATCGAGAGACCGCCGTGATCGAGGTGCTCGAGCATCCTATAGTCAAGCAAAACTCGATCATGATCTGATGGTGGCCATCACTAGCATGAGGTTGAACCTGGTGAAGGTGTATGGAGAGCACGAATGAATTAAGCAACACAAGTGTGATGAAAATGCAGAGTGCGGAAGAATCGATGATCGATGATGAGAACTCCTCTCCTCTAGCTAAGGACAGAATGGGAGATATATATATCTCCAAAGCAACAAGAACTCTGGAACTCCACAGAAACCTCACGAACACAAAAGAACCACTCATCCTGACGAACCATGATCCTCCGTGCCCCACAATTATCCAGAACTCTGATGAACCTCCAACAAAGAACCAGTGTTCTCGCCCGTCCGGGGCCCCCGTAGGGCCCGGCGGAGGGACTGCCAAGAGCCCGGGACGGGACGGGACGGCAACATATAGTCCGTCCTCATCCCTGAACTCCTAGGACGGCCGTCATGAGGAAAGACAATGAGTCCCACGATCTGAGGCAACTTCTGGTAGGGGACGGCAGGTGACTACATAGGACCACCGGGGAGCGTAGGGGACGGTGGGGGACAGTGGGGAAGGGTTGGGGGTTTAAGGGACGGCAGGGGACGGTGGGTGACTGTGGGTGACGGTAGGGAACTGTTTCTGGATGGTCCTTTACTCTTATGTGTCGGGCAAGTTTAGGAAAAGACCGGACGGGACGACACAATGCAGTCCGTCCTGGTCCTTCATTCCTACCTGTCGGGCATGTTGAGAAAATGACCGGACGGGACGACAAAATGCCGTTGCGAGCACTGCAAAGAACCAGATTCCTAGAAGCATAAGGTGTGAAAGAAACCAAACCCCATCTCTGATGCCCTATGGCGATAGGAAACATCACAAACAAGAAACCCAACACCTAAGCACTAGAAGTACTAACTATCTATGGTGGGTGCCGTCTAGACACAGCATCTCAATGGATGCAACGGGGGACACCAAGGCAATCATCCATTCTAAGCAAAACATTATGAGTTTAGGGTCGAATTTCTGTTTTACTTTAAATATTTCGTATCCAAAAAATATAAATCTCATCAACAAGTGAATATGGGGGACCTGCAGGAACAATAAAAAATGTATCTTCTATGTACAAGCCTTCAGTATTGTAGTATCTGTATCAAGTGACTCTAATTTATCTTCTGTAAAAATAAAAATAAAAATAAGTCAACCCTAAACCCATAATGCTTCCCTAGAATGGATTGCCTTGGCGTCCCCCGTTGCATCCATTGAGGTGCTGTGTCTAGACGGCACCCACCATACCCGCATAACAGCCAACTCGCATGCCCGATAGGCACTCCAATAGAACCCATCCAATCTACTCCTTTCTCGAAAGCAAAATTTGTTTCTTCCTCACAGGCTCTTAGGTCCCCCCCCCCCCCCTCTTGCATGTAGATGCCCTTTCTGCTGGCCCCGCTTCATGGTTTTCGTCAAGACCCCGGCTCTTCCGGCTCTGCTCTCCGATATTTCCACCCATGGTGCCCCGCCTCACAATCCCCAATACTACACCAATGGTAGGGGCCTATATCCCCCGGCTCCTCCCATGCAACACCGCCGCGCGTGCTCTCTCCCCAGTGATTCAGACTCATTCTCGGCCTTGAGAAAGGGGCAACCACTCTCCACCTCCAGATGCGCTTCGCCGCAGTGCAGAACCTTAATCCGAACTAGCAAAAGAATCTCAATTCTGCATCAACGGGCTTCATAGTACCCATAATACCAAGCGCAATTACGGCCCTCAACACGGGAATATCAACCTAAATGTCAACAATAATAACACCGATGACAACCTCGACCGTGGATCCTGGGGCCACAGTTTCCGTGGCGACAGATACCCGGGCAGAGGCTCCGGTGGGTCCAATCTCGTCTCCTTTGTTGGGGGTTTGGAGGTCACGGTATCCATACCCCCGTTTGAAGGATATGGTGGTAACAATAATCTTAACGTCAGCACTAATACAGATGACAAGGGAAGCCTCAGATCAGGTGACGGATTTGGTAGCTGGGGAGGTTTTGGCTGCAAGAAGAAGGGATAGGGGAAGAGGGAGAATTTCAACACAACCACTAACACAAATGCCAGCCCGAACCGCTCTGGAACCTTCGGTAGCTTTCCTGCTTTTCGCGCTTACGGCTCCTTTGGGCGCCGGTTCCCGGGGTACCCGAGGGATATCAGGCGGGGATTGGCACTGAAAGAGATCTCTCAGGAAATCCAAACTGTCGACTGCGTATTCGAGGCAGCTGTCCTAAGTTAGCTGCTACTAGTACCCGGCTATCTCAAGAGATATCGGGTGGGCCCCGCCACTGCAACCCCGAGACGACAAGCAATAGACGGGGCATGTGCGCAGAAAACTGCCGCAGAAGCCCAAGCAGCCGAAAGCATCAGAACTTCAACTACAGCCCCAATACGAAGGGGGGATTTGGCGATTTGGGGGGCACCTCGGACGACAAGAAACGAAGAAGCAAGGCCCCGCTACTTGCTACAACAACATAAACGGCTTCGCCGATGCAAATATCAACAAAGACAACATTTCTGACAGCAGTAATGCCAAGACCAGATATTTTGGTTACCCCCCCCCGCGCACAGTGGTAACAGTCTTGGGGTGAATGTGTTCCGGGACACAGACTTGGACGTGAATTCTAGAAACCAGCAGTTGCTGTGCGGCATGCTCTCAGACGTGCCTAGAATATGGTGGATGAGACTCAGACCAGTCTTGCCTCCTGATCAGCTCCCGATTCCATACTGGAGATGTCCCGTCAGCGAAGTATCATCCCTCTCTCCTGCAGACACCACCGCCACAGGCTAGCGATACACAAGAAGAGTTTTCCTGCACGCTAGTTTTCAAGGAGCGGGGTGAAGGCTTCCCCACGTAGGGTCGGGAACTCGGAGAAGAAATTATAGGTCCTGTATTTCTTTCCGCTTTCCTTTGCGATCACTACCCTTTCCTTTGCCACTGAATAAGTAAAGTAATCAACGCTCTCAAAATTGTTTTTCCTTCTACTTTGTCAGCCACTCTCTGTCACTATCTTTCTCGTCTTTTATAAGTTTTATACAATTCAGGAAGTTACCGCCGAACCCATACCTTGCTGCATTATCCCCAAAAATGAGCATCAACATTGTCGGTATTCGAAAGGAGTGAATAAGAGGTAGGTGCGCCCAGAAAAAATGTCGGATACCTTCTGTGTGTCTATGGTGAGGGTGCCAATACATCCGTACCTGTGGCGTTAGCGGTTCAGGCCGGGCGGTGTTGTTGATGGTTAAGAGGAAGTTTATGTGGTTTTCTTTCCCTGGCCAGATATGGGGCTGTGATCGTGAATCCGTTCATGATAAATATTTAGGATCCTATCACCTGGAGAGTCCACCCAACACTAGTCGAAATTCACCAAAACCGAGGCTCCCCCAAGCCCTCTAATACCAGTATATTACCAGGATTAAAGTAAACATCCCGGTAGTCCTACAAGTTCCCAGATCTCTTGAATAATCCACTCTTTACCCAACCCCAACCTTCCACCTATACACAACGAGGTTGGGTCCAAATCAGGTGAAGCCACCTGAAATATATCCTTTCCATACGAAATGCCTTGACCGAGGTCCCCCAAAAATCCCCGACCATCACAACCTGCTAAACTATGGGTTTAGCCGGGTAAACCCCACGCTGTTATTAACCAGGGATCCCCAGCGTGGCATACATTCAGCCCCCCCCCCATTCATGATACTTTAAGCAGAGTGGAGAGTCGGCAGCACCAAAAAAGCCTCCATTTTTGTCTCTCTTTTACTATCAATCATACCAAGCCGACCCCTCTCCAGTCCTCCAGCACCACGAAGTAAATATATATATAATAAATATAAAATGCCCAGGCTTCCCCCCCAAGAGCTCCATGCGCAAGCAATCCTTTTCATCTCCCTCCCCCAACCTTATAGCTCAGAATAGTTAAGTAATCGTTGCTACTACGGTACTCGAGAAATTCTAGTTTCGGCTAGGTTTTAGGTTACCCACTATACCACCTTCCATATTTCCACACCCACGAGCTGCAAGGTCGAGTGATACTCAGTGACTACAGACGAGGCGCTACTCAAACACAAAAAGCCCTGTATATACCGGAATTATGTGTAGTATGCGCACCCAATTCTTACTGGTACCATTCCGGTGGGTACCCTTACCAGCACAGTCAGCACGCCGCTACACAGCAGGGCCGGACTGGGCCATAATACCAGAACGAGCACTTTGCCATGCAAGAGCAAGGTTACATATTGTGATGCCATAACTCAATCCCTGATGGTACCCCGCCTAGTCAATCACACGCCTTTTGTGGAGCCTACCAATCTCGGATTTTCGAACATGAATTGAAGGATCTATCCTTGCAAGTACAGCGGTATTAGAGAATTTCATTACACGAGCACAGTAAGATACAGGTATTTAAAATCTAATCATTTCGTCCAAGGTATCATTAGGAGGAAAAAAAATAAAGAGAGGAAAATATGAACGCCAGTAAATCAAATAGGCGAACCCCAATGCCGCGCCTATATCTTGTCCGCCGTTTTCGCGCTCTCTATCGTGTATAGAAGTCGGGTCTTGTTCAGCTCAACCAGCATGTCCAGCCTCCAAAAAGAGTTTCTCCCACTACCGCACACGATTGTAAGTATTCATATATTGTAGGATGAGGGGAAAGTGCAGTGACAAACCTTCATAAAAAGCGATCCAATAACCGTCATCGCTCCTGCTACAATCAAGAGGATGTAATTCTTATCCATGGCCATGATAATCGCGTGCAAGACCTTCTGTCTCGTCTCCCCTTCGAGATTCATGAACAGCTCGCTTCCGCTGCCGGCCACTGTGCCCTTAATAGCTGCGGCGGGAACGCCCTCCAGCAAAGGGGTTATGCCCTTAACGCTCTCGTTCAAAAATACACTGCCGCAGATAGCTAACGCGATCACTATTCCTCCGGTTTGTGCGAGGGAGATGTACCCAACGGCCAAGGGTAGCTGCTCCGGCTTGACCTTTGCCTGGGCAACGGAGAAGGAAGCTTGAATGTAAGAACCTGAACCGATTCCGATAAGAATGGTGTATCCGTAGATTTTAGCGGTAGTCGTGGTTTCCTCGACAGTGTACATGAGTGCTCCGCCGATCAGGACCATCGCACCGCCGAAGAGGTACCAAGGGGCGTAATACCCGGTCTTCGACATAGCCCCACCATTAACGATACAGAAGAACACCATAATGATAATGAACGGTAGCAATCTCACAGCAGCTTCCAAAGCTGTATCCCCCTTGACGAACTGGAAGTAGAGCGGGATGTAGTATGTGGGAACGAAGATAGCAGTGGAGGCAGCAGCCATCATGGCGAATAGCAAGACCAAAAACGGCTCTCGTAAAAATTCACCAGGGAAGAGGCGCTGCTCGGGGGTAGTGAGGACGGAGTACGCCTGAGTCACAGCAAACGCGATGATGAGGATGCCGCCGACGACGAATAGAGCGATTTCCTGGGCAGAGTCCCACGCGTAGAGCGTGCCGCCAAAGTTGATTGCCATTATCAGAGACACGAAAGAGCCGATGTTCAGGACAACGCCGAGCCAGTCCAACTGCTTAGTGCGCGCCACGTACGGGGTGTTGGGCTGGGGGTCGGCCGAGGGGAGGAGCACCACGTAGACAGGAGCAAAGACAGCCCCAATCAGCAGATTTATGTAGAATGCCCAACGCCAAGTTGCTGAAGATTCAGAGAAAGCACCGCCGACGACGGGCCCAAGGACCGTTCCGAGGCCCCACGCTATACAGAATTAGTACCAACATTGCGGTAGAATCGAAGAGTGGGGGGGAGCCATACTCAATCCAGTAGCGCCGATATAAGCCGGTCTCTCATGAACGGTGGTCGTGATGGACAGCAAATTCAAAGAACCAATATACATTCCAGAACCCTACGCTCATCAGCAAAAATCACCAGCAATGGAAGTGACAGCACAGTACCCCAAGACCAGCAACAGCTCTACCAACGATGAGAGCATTCATATTGGGCGCAGCACCACATACCGCGCTCCCGACTTCGAAGATCAGGACGGAGAGGATATACAACCATTTCGCGTTGAAGATACCGTACGCCTTTCCCCACGGAAGGATTGTAGAACACCCTGCGAGGACGAATGCGATCCCCAACCAACTTAGCTTCTCGATCTCGCCAAAGTCTTCAATCACCGATGCTTGGATGTCGGCGACCTGGCTTGTTAGCTCTTTTGCAGGAGCGTGTAGGCAAAGGGGGAACATACGACAGTATTATCAAGAGCAAAGAGAAATGTTGAGGAGAGGATTGATATCACGACGAGGATCCACTGGATGCCATATCATTAGTCGCGACCAACTAGATTTATCGGGGATGCACATACCAATACTCCCGTAACGTTCCGCGGGGGAACTTCTTTGGCCAACTGATCCCCCAATGCTGCATCGCCGGTAATTGATGTTGCGGTCGAAGATCCCCGCTCCGCGTCCCGCTCTGGTACCCCGAGATTCTTCTCGCTGAACCCCTCCCCGCTTGAAGGCGTAGTTGATTGTAGAGCCATTGCTGATGATTTCCGCTCCTTCTCTCTTTCTCGATTGATAACCAATGCCTAACCCAAGAAGAGAGGTGAGAGCTGCCGATAAGACAAGTGCTAGTGGGACAAAAAGGTATCAAGTCCACGGGGGATCGAGGGTATTTGTAGCCTCCTGCTCCCCCCCCCGCTTCCGAACCATACCTCCGGACCTATCACTAAGTCTCGCTCTTACAAATGCACTATATCATCATCCAAATAAGCCCCCCTGCAAGGGTGGTGGGGGTAGGAAATCCCGACGCACCAGTCTGCACAGACAGGGTCCAACAAACCAGCTCCGGTACCGCACCGGAGCCACTCGAATAGAAGAAAAAATGTGCCTGGAAGTTAGAACTCCCCTCCTCGGCGACTATAGGAAAAAAACTGCAAGTTCAGCCCTCGGTTGACAAAAAAACAAAAGAAATATGCACTACTGAGCCTCGCTAAATTTAGGAGAGACAACTACTTAGCACATTGATCCTGTATTCGAGTTTTTGCGGTAATCCTACCTGTATACCGGTACAGCACGGGAAAATTGACAGAACGTAAAAGCACGGTAAACACAGATCATGCCATCATCAAAGTCGTAAGTTAGTTGGCAGTCCCCAATAATCTCAGGCTGACTGGGTAAGACAAGGCCGAGGGTGCATGTCAACCGGGATCACGGGCCCTAACCCTTTCCAAACAAAACAAGACCCAATGGCACTGTATTGTAACATGCGCCATCAGACATGGCCCTTCTCTGCTCTTCTCCTGTTATCGCAAGTGCCCCACAGCATGATACCTGTGTATAGCCTGCTCATATCCCTTAACTCCACAACTCAGATTTATAATCACATTGACACCCCAGCCCAGGCGCCTCGTATCGCGGAGGAATGTCATGCCTTGAAAACAAGGGAAAAAGAAAGAAAGCGGGCATATCGGGCGAAATGTTCTTCCGAGATGGAGGATCCCTGTCGCCGCCGGCAACACTCCAGTGCGGGCACAGGGTTGGAGTCGCAGCATGGCAGCCGACGGGTGGAATTTATTCCCGGGGGACGGAGTTACGGGCTACCGGGTGGGTGCAAGGGTGGGTTACGGCATAGTACCGCAGTCGATTGCGATGCCATGGAGTGATTGATAAGCGTAGAATGGTGAAGCGCGCCATGAACCCGTCGGAGAGGAATACTCGAGTACCCGAGTATAGTCCAGGGTAAGTTACGGGAAGTGGGAGGATTACTATTCACCCCCGAGCCGCATGTATGACACGGTAACATACCCTCCCGGCCGCGCCGATCGGTTGACCAGGTCAAGAATTCAATAGGATCGTACCGCACTCAAGTGCCGTATACGGTAGCACGCCAGAAGAAGTCAGTCAACGCCTTCAAGAGCTCGGCGGCATGAGGCCTCACCCTGAAACTCTGTTTACCTATTACCAATTAAGGAAGGATACTCCCCAGACCTCTCGTCATTCACGTAAGCGAGACCCTCCCGACCAATCAGGCGACCGACAAAAGGATAATAGCTCCCCATCCGGAGCCATCCTCAGCTTTTCCTCTCGTTCGGCTAATTCACTCACCATTGAGTCACCAATCAATTGAAGATCGGGGCCAAGTGCTGGAAAGAAAAAATTAAAAAAATTCCCCACTGTAGACATTCGATCAGGCAAAGAAGTGGTTGGTTCTCGCGGTGCAGTAGGTGTCTAAGAATCGTCATCAGAGCGAACTCTTCCCAATGGTGATACTTTTCCTTTTTATTTGGTCAGTCAACGACAGCCCCATTCGTCCAAAGCGAAGGCAAGAGGGTGTATTATCATTCCCTCCTCCTTTTCCTTTCCCTCAACCTCTCTCATATTGCCGAGGCCCTTCAAAGCGCCAAACCTGAGCTCTATTGTGTTTCCCGATTTCCACACTGCGTCCCTATTACCGGTATACAGTACCATTCGATGACAAGCTGTTCCATCAACATAAGTACGGTACGGTGCTTGTATCATCACAGAAGCCTTTCCGAGCGCGCAAGCACTAAGCCAACCAACCACAGCCAAATCCGAGACATTAGGGCCTATCAAGACGGCAATTACCGATAAAATTCCAGACGGCAATCGGCTCGACCATTCAGGCTTTCCCACTACCGTAAAAACCGGGATAATTGGCCCTCGCGCTAGTCGTCCGGAATTTCCTCCTTTGAATTGGGGTGAAAAACACTGGGGGGAAAAAAGGAAAATAGGACCGCCCTTACTTGTACCAGCAGAGGCAACTCCAACTTCTAGCGTGAGGGCCAATTATCCCAGTTTTTACGGTACTCGAGTACCGTAGAGCAAGCCTTTGCCGTTCCGCAGCGACCTTGTGGGACTTTAGCGGATTGGCTCACGTTGAGCTTCCGCACCGAGTAAGGAGCGACCGGGGGAACCCGCGGCACCGGTGTGGAAGTGTCCCAGTTGACTTCCGGAATTCCATGGTGTTTTTCGACAAGGCTGCGCTTGTGGACTCTGGTCTGCATTTCTCCGTGACCCCCTCGTATATCGCGAGATAGGACGATGGAGAATACGTGCTGACTTCTCCGTAATTTGACCGCTAGCGTATAGGTAAAAGGTGATGAAGCGAGGCGGCATTTCGATTGCCTGAAAACAGTGTCCGGTGTCTATTGTATGATACGGTAGCCACACGAGCTTTGTGTTATCCTTGGACAGCCCCCCCCAAAAAAAAACAATGCCAAGTACTGTGATCTTGGCACTGATCGAAGCAAGCAGAGATAAGATAAGTGCAGATTTGGACACGGCTACGGTCACCAATACTAGTACAGTAAATTACACTCCGAATGTCCTAGCGACGCAGCACACTTAGGAAAGCGAGCCCTCGGTTTCCGAGTTGCACTTTTTCTGGCGATTGCCGAGACCATGAGTGCTGCACCATGACATCCTGTGTGGTCTGGGAGCACGGTTCCGCAGTACGAGTATAATACCAGTGGTAGACTCTAATTGGTTGCTATATTTGGGGAAAATACTTGCACTTGGGAGGATAAAGAGAGGGTTAACTTATGGCCATAGTGCTGGGCATGAGCATTCTCCCTTAGCAGATTTTTCCTCCCGCCCTAGCACCAGACTACCCGTAACCGCGTCATTCCCTTCCTCGTTCATGGCTAACTCAAACAGACATATCCAGAGCCACGATCTCGGGGGTTAGGGCTGTGCTTGCCATTCCTTGTTCCAGGCCTGCCAGCTGTACTAGCATATATCGCGCTGGATTCACGAGATACCCGGAGATGCGGACAACCAGGCGGCCGTGTGAAACATAGAAATAGACACTGTATTCATTTGTTATTTTTTTTCACCCCCCCCCCCCCCCACCCACATGGCAATCTTGTGTTATCACTCGTTTGGGGACTCTGGCATCCCCAGCGGCAGGGGTATTAGGCCTGCCGCAGTTGCTTCAACCTAGCCCCTGTTCTACGCACCGGAAGTGTGAAGACGTATCATATCTTTCTTTACTACACCCCCCCCCCTCCCCACAACCTCTCCACACCTAACCGGTTCGTCATCTCCACACAATACGACCATTACCCCTCCCCCAACACCTCCAAAATTGCAGAGGACACCGAGAGAGCAGTCGGAGGGACACGAGACATAAAGAAGGGAGAAAGGGGTTTAGCTGTGAGATTAGGCAAATACACAAATCTTTCAATAGGGTTCGAGGGCTAAGAAACTTATGATAATCGGGTAAGATTCTTTGGTCAAAATATTTTCGATAATGCTTCTGACCGCATACCGTAGTCCTCTCCCAGTCCGGGGATATGGTGGATATCGGGCACCGCTTGTCGCCACAGGTCGACAGACTCATTCGGGATATGGTGAATTCGTCACGGTCGTCGAATGGAACCGTAACAGACCCTTGCACAAAAACAAAGAACCGTCACAAAGAAGAAAGTGCAGCTCTAGTCACAGTTGGCCCATGCCCGTGAATAGCTAATCATGCCGACTACCCCCCCAATACCGAAGCCGATTCTCCCTCCTGCGCTACTCGATATATCGGAATTCCGGATGTCTATAGCCCAGCTTCTGCACTTCCTCCTCCGTTAACCCCACCAGCCGGCTATCCCGTCCCCCTCTTTCCCGTAAGGCGTTCTCTCGGCGAGCGTAGAGGATACCCAATACACCAATCAGTGCCACGCAGACTTCACCGCCTAGAAGCCGTTAGCTCTAAATGATATAGTAATGGGGAGGGGGATAATGCCAAGGTTGATAGAATGCCCTCGGACATATCGTGGTGCATCGGCAGGGACATATGTCCATCTATGTCGTCCATTTAATTCGCTGTGATAAACGTGGGGGTAGCAGAGCATACGTCGCCACAAGTGCACCGCATGTTCCTATGCTCACAATATACCCTCCTGTTACAGCTCTGATCGAAGGCCCCGCTGCATCTGTTCACCGCTCCCATCGTCATTAGCACCACCGCGCCCGAGCAAGTTAGCATCTAGGAGGAAAACATACTGTTCAACCCCCAACTCAAAAATGTCACACCAAGCGGGAATGAACCGCTCGATGCGAAAAACACTGCCATGTACTTGATGTTCGCTTCATCCACGCTGGCAAGAATCGCGTATCCCGTGAGCGTTAGCATTGAGCAGAAGAGAACAAGGATGCCACGTCTTCGATAGCGGTCCGAGAGCCGGGCTATGGCGAGTGAGAAGCAGCACGCTACGATGTAAGGAGGAACAGTGAGGAGCTACGGATATTAGCAATGGCGGAAGCTAAGTGGAGGGGGGGGTGAGGGAGGAGAGGGAGAGATACCTGAGCCTTTGTTGCCCTCCATCCCAGTGCACTGAGGATTGTCGGCTGAAATTAAGTTAGTCTGATATCACTGCCTAGGAGAAAAACATTCAACCAACCAGGAATAGAGAGAAACTCTGCACCGTAATATTGCAGAAGAAAAATCCCATACAACAAATTACATTATTGATGTTGAAAATTGCTCTCTTCACATGCCACAATTCAGTTTTCTCACTCGTGAGCTATGGCCATCAGTTGTGTGTTGCCTACCCCGATGAAAGACAACTCCTACCTCTTTATGTTCAATTCTCATCCTTTCCGCCGCGATCCAGCGCTGTCGCTCGCTCAGAAACATACACTTCTGCGGAGACTCGGGCATGAGGAAGTACGCCAGGATTCCGATTCCGAATGTTATCTACAGAAGCTCCGTCAGAAGGGTTTGTCCGGATGGGGGTAGAGGGAATTCCCACAATGCCTTCAAAGAAGAAGATATTTCTCCACCTAAGCTATAGTTATTGCCCGTGTCCCTGACTCATCCGGGGGGGGGGGGGGTACGGACGTATGCACCTCGGACCCTTTAACACCCCATTCAGGGATCCGACTACATTCACCACATCAGCCCCGGCCATCTAGCACCCCCCGGACTCGTACTAACTTACGACAAAGCCGTAGCCAAGAATCCCCCGAAAGCACCAGCGAGCGAGCCAGCGGAGGCAAGGAGCCCCACCCGAAAGAGCAGCTCGGCACGCCTGTAAAAGCAACTCATGAAGAACGCCATCCCCTGGTTCCATTAGCACTAGTAGAACGGGCGAAAGGGAAGGAGAAGAATACGGGCATGGTTCCACCCTCTGCGAGACCCAGGAATGCACGAGCCACACATAGTTGCTGGAAATCTTTCACGAATGCAGTCCCAATTGACACAATGCCGAAGGCTACTATGATGGCGGGGACTAGATTTCCCTGCCGTTAGTTTCGGTGGCTAGCAGTAACGATGGGGGTAGGGGGTGGTAAGCACTGTAGATCTTTGGACCTGTATGAGAAGTTAGCCTACTAACTCCTTGTCGGTAACCAAAGCATTCATGTTAGGATACCTATCCTCTTGAGTAATATATTGCTCGGAATCTCGATCCTTTAACATCGGCCATATGGGGTCAGTTACCGCCTACCCAGGCTACTGTGGCTAGAGAACCCACAGAAGAAAGGGAATATAAAACGCGGTCAACGCCCAATTGAACCTAAACCCAGCAAGATCTAGATCCTTCTGCATTCCCTGGATCCGTGCATTCCTATATCCACCCGCATCAGCGACCGCGCACCGTACAACTCGCCGCTACCACCGCCGTACCCGATATTTGCTCTGTGTTCCCCGTGGGGGCAAGTTAGCGGGGCTATATCCCAGCCACAGATGTTTCCCTCTGACCCACCGGTCCATAAAGCAAAGCATATAAAGCACCGCCAACAGCGGTAACAATCTCCAATCCAACTGCCTCCTCACACACGCCTCCTCCTCGGCCGACCACGACTCCTCATCGGATGCTATCTCGCACTTCTCGTCGAAGATTTCCTTCGCAGCGTTCTGGGCCTCCATGTCAAGTAATGGCATATGGTACCGTTTTAATCTAGGTCTGGGGCTCAGGATCGGGATGCAATCCCATATTTATACTGCTTCGTGGGGCATAGGTTGTGTGGATGAGTGGAAATGAAAGGTTGGGAATTTCGCATGCAGTAGTGGAGTGCGTCAGTGGCCTGGCTTAGCCCAGCACAGAAACAACTAGTGTCCAAATCCACCAGCGCTCGAAGCAGTAAAGATCACCTGTTCAGTCCCAGTCTCGACCCCACTCTAGGTCGGTACCGGGCGAGCAACCCAGTGAGTACGTTTGGGTGGATGGATGGGTCTTCGAGTGCTAGGGTATGATACGAGAGGGGTTTATAAATTAGAATCGTTTCCTTGCAATATTGTGCGGTCGGCACATGGCTGGTATCAGGACTGTCATGCCTAGGTTGTCACTATTGAACGGGGTATACCACAAGAATTCGTATAACCTCCCCATCTAGATATAAGACCCCCGGAGAAGCAAGAGTTTTACCTAGTGCGTATAACTTGAGCGAGCTAAACTTGTTAGACCCCGCTAATTGGTTCTCGTAAGTTCATTGGCCCGCTCAGCCCAGCCTATAGAGTTTTCGTGTGTTGGCTCTCTGGCAGTTGATTGTAAGGGTAAACGCAGCAGTGCTTACAGTTCGAATTGCCCGGCAGAGCTCTGGTGCCTTCCGGAGTCGTCTTGTAGTCACAGCTAACGGTCACTTCCAGTATTTTCTCCCTTTGGCCCACGAATACCCCCGTATTTTAAATGGTGATCCCAATCACCATGAAAGTACTCACATACAGCTTCAATACTTAATTTACCATCGGCGCTACGACGGTTTCACTAGGAGGGTTCCTCCTATTCACATATTGTTCAATCACCCTAACATATTTGAGTCTGAATCCGCTAACTTATAGCGAGTGTCAGCCAACGAACGTGACAATTAAGTTAAGGAGCTTGTAGCAACCTCCACCGGCCACCAAGGGACATCCTTGCCATTATCCCTGCTAAGGTCTCACTCTGGTTCTGCTACTGTGCAGAGTCAATATTCCCGACGGGAGTTGCGAAGCCTGCAACACCCCACCCCCGGTTAAGAATAGCATCCCTGTCCTCGCCTCCGGGAACCCGTCCACCGTCCGATCAGCAATCTTATTTGTAAATTTGGGATACCGCTCCGGACAAACGACGCGTATCTACTGGCATAGGCACCGTTCAGAATTGGTTAGAGGGTTTGCGAGGGGCAGGCCGGATACCATTGGCGAGTTTTGTAAGTTGTTAGCTATGAAAAACAGAATTGAGGGAGAGGGGATTGCTCGTATATATTGTGCCGCTGGCATATCTTTTGGGTCTCCCACTGGACATGGCGAGCCAGCCTTTCTTTCTGGGTTCGGACTCATGGCAGCAGACCATAGCGTTAGGAAAGTTGATACAGAGCCTCGATAGGAGTTGGCGGGCCCTTTAGAAGTACCGTTAGCTCCGCATCCCGGGTAAAAAGCATTGGTATTGGCAACACTTGCAATACCGTGAGGGTTGGGAGAGTTATTTCCACCTATTGGCCGAAGCCCTCTTCTGTCACATCGACTTGGCCATCATCAGGAGTGGGACTCTAAGGCATCTGAGGCGCAAAGCTCCTCCCTGGGTGTTTTATGCCTCCAATGCACATCCTGGACTGATCCTGCAGCGGGCATTTACTCTCTCAAAAACTCTCCATCAAAAACTGCGCTCTAGGAGCGCGGGGGGGTACCCGTGTTTACCGCATCTATTGCCAACGAAGCATCTATAATAATTATTTCTCGGGCATGACACCGTTAAGGGTTTAGGAACGTCCCCGCAACTGCTCTTGTGGAAAAAAATTTGGCAAATTGCTTCTGTTTCCCGGGAGCCAAAGGAATACTGGTGTTGTATAGATGGGGGGAGGGCTGCCGCCCTTTGAAAGCCCGGAGAGTTGCATTTCCCATCGTCTGTTGAATCGCAATGAATGGGTTAGCCCATGCACGGGCGTGGGTGTCGGGGGTGTATATCCTTCCTTCCCCACCCCCATCGTATGGCATGACGGATATTCAATTATACAGGCGGTGGCCTCGGCAAGGGTAGGGCTATCGCCGGCACTCTGTCTCGGCAGTGTTAACCTTCCAGGATCCCCGCCAAATGCATGGATGCACCGAGCTCCAAGTTAAGTAGACGTATTCATAAAGGTCGTTCATATAATGACCTGAGACTCAATTATCCTCCCCAACTCCAGCTTCCGCTGCTGATCCAGAAGCCCCTCATCCAGGTCCAACATGCGGTCAGTTTTAATATCCCCCCCCATACCCAAACCCCAGAAAATTAACCCCATAATTCAGTAACACGACTTTGTTCGCCGTTAGGTTCAATAGGTCACCCGGCCACCCTGCATATATCATACTTATAGTTGCCACAACATACCCATACCCCGTCGGTTAATCAGTATCAGGGCTGACTTCTTCGATTAGCTATTACTGGCTTACTTCATGACACCCGGTTTCCCGGTGTCTAGCTCGAGGGCACGGCTCTAGCTCCCAAGGTGTAAACAAGCTCCTGGACCATTATCCGTGGGTTACACTCAGGGATCTTTTGTCGTGGAACCACCGAAACTACCGGATATCTTGAGCGGCGGTTAAGATATGCAGAAACTGAGATCTCCAATTGGTGCACCTACGAATGGTATGGATCTGAAATGTGATATGCTATAAGTTAGGAGGCATCGTCTCCTCCCTAAAAAAGTGCCGTAGTTTGGGACCGCCATTTGGGTGTTCCGAGATGAGAACGATTCCTGAGGGTACGTGTAATGTATAGTGCCAGGCTCGGTAGAATGACTACCTGGGTATTTGTAGTAAATATAGGCTGGATACGGTATGTACCGTATCGCCCGAGCCACCCCCGCCAACACGGGTTTCCCACAGATTTTCCAACGATCTCACCCCACCTATCCCACCCTCGGTTGGTGCAATATTTTGAGGTGCAGCGCTCGACTGGTGGACTACGATGTAGGCAGCTAAGTGCTATCTAGATTTTCATCTGCTGATTGCTGATGGAAAAATTACTGGCGGAGGGGAAGTGGATAACTTAGGCTTGGCTCGGCCAAGCCGCGACGGGGGCCAGCGAGACACTCGGCTACCAGCAACAACTATTTGAATGTCACTTTTTGTTTCTGTGGTCATGGTAGCGAATTTTCCTGTTCCACACCGCCCTGGGGACACTGCCGTTTCAAGTACCTGTTCTGGCACTGTACTCCCATCGGACCGAAGACCGCTGCACCTCTTGTATAAAGTAGGAAGGATATGATAGAGATAGCCGCCCACCCCTCTAAGCACTCACATAGCCAAATTGAAGCCGGACTTCGCGGCGAACTCCAGTCAGAGCCCGGAAATGCTGTTATCATTATCTTCAGGGCCACACTTGGCCCGGGTGGCGTACCTTGGCGACAAATTATCCTCCGACTTAACTTAAACCCCAAAGGATTCCCAGTCATCGCTCCGATCGGAACCAGGGGTCCAATAGATGACAGAGTCAGTATTTCTCCACAAACTAATAGAGAGAGGATAGGAATACCCCAAGCTTTCACGGAGATATTGAGGCTTGGAAGGATGTCAAACCTTTGGTAGGAGAATAGGTATATCCAGGGCTTATTTCTTGTTCTTAATTTCCATGGCCGTGACAGTTAACACACTATCACTAAGCCAGAATTAATGATTGGCTGCTTAGGCTACTAGGGCCACTCGCCACCCAACCTTCTCCGCCTGCTCTGCTGGATTCTGCTACATCATGCGAGTTAACTCTAGTGACCTCTACAGAGCGAAGCATCGGCGTATACTCCTCCCGGACCCCGCCGAAGGATTCTACACGGTCAGACCACTAGGAAAAGTAAGGATAGAGACCACCCAGGAACCAGCTCGACGGCAAAAAAAAAAAAAGTGGACCCCGGATCTTCCTTAAAAACACCAGTTTTGGATGAGCACATAAATAGGAGCAAAGAATTAGAAACGCTTGGTTGTTTCTTTTGTTTTGTGACCAAGAGTCAACCCAAGCGCTCACATAATTGAATGTCAGGCCGCAGGAATTGCTTCACAAAACTGAAAGCCCGAGTTATGAAGGGGATGCCAACCAAAGAAAGGACGGCTGCTTTAGAAGGCATTTTCCGGAGTAACAACGTGAAGCAGCTTCACGCCTCTGTGTCGGTATTCGAGACTGTCACAAAAATCGAAGAATTCATAATGCCAAACTCCCTACGGATGTCAGTCATATTATTATCAGATATTAGAGGTCGGAACTTGTTGCGGATGTTTTTTCTGGTGTGTAAATTAGCAACAGTAATTGAAACTCGGGACTCGGTGTGGATAACCCGCGGGAGCACGTCTATTTCACTAACCTATCATAGATCGTACTGTACTTAGGCCCCGCTTACCTAACAGTTCGGTTAGGGAAATTTGTATTGTGGGCTAGAACAGTACCGTCAGCTCAGGGTTGTGTTGCAACTGACGGTGCCAAACGTGTTTACCTAATTTTCAACCGTCAGGAATTTTGGGTGCTTAACGGTCAAAATGAAAAGGTGCTCCAGAGGTGCGGTAGCAACACCGTCAGCCTCAAAAATTGATGCATTGTCACTATGCCTCCGACCGGTTATGCCCACAATAGCCATACCACCACTGCCAATCCTCTGCTTTCTTTGCTCTGGTAGTTCTAGGATAAATATATTAGAATTGAAACCATTGCTGACTATCATTAAGGTCTTTGCTTAGCATGGTACCATGAGAGATTTGGGCTATGATGTCAAAACGACTAAAAAAGAGCTACAAGAATAGGTGGAAGGACTCTTGAAGAGTCATTGTGGGTGGTATGTGGGGGATATAGGCTGGGTCCAATATTTTACTTGGTCGGCAGTGCTTGAAAGGGAGGGGGAGTTGGGAATTGTGAGTTCAAAAGCCCTCATATTGTATTTTGTAAATTTTTCGATTTACCCCCTAACGGTAAGGACCATGTTGCA